GTTTTCATCAAGTATTCACACCCTTTGACTTTTTCCACATTTTGTAGTGTTAAAACGTGGGATTCGAAATTGATTTAATTGTCGTTGTTCGTCAACTATCTACACAAAATACTCTAATGTCAAAGAGGAAGAAAAATACTAACATTTGTAAAAATAAAAAAATCACTAATATATCTTGATTGACAAAAAAAACTAAATGTAATCAACAAAACAAAATATGGAAAAAGTCAAGGGGTGTGAAATACTTTCTGAAGTATTATCTACATATCATTGCTTTAAATGTTTCATACTGACATTTAAAACAGTTTCACACTCTCCCAGTCAGGACTCTTATAATAAATCAAATACCACAACTGTTTTTAAAAGATCTATGAACCTCCCCACTGAATCAGTTAATGTTTTCATGCTAATGTTTTAATAAATCATAGTATAAAAAGACAAGCACATTATTGTACCCACAAACCATTTTACAAGAGAAATATGCTGTCCTTTTTAGATGAGAGAACTTTATTTCCCAGAGCCTTATTGCAAATCAAATGACAGCACTTCCCAGATATAATAACCCAGCAGTCCTGCATGGGGCAAATGGATGCTGCTGGCCACGTGGCTGGAGAAAATGAAATTACTGGATGTATGACCAAAGGCCTCTTCTAGAAACACTGAATAAATTCCTGGAATGTGGCGTCAGTGGTCTCTAATTGTACCTGCATTGATTGAGCCCAGTCATTCACATCATAAAGTACAATGAAATCCTGATGACCACCAGAGACCAGACATCAGGGAGAGGCTGAGAGAGGAGCAGCAGACTGGGTGGATGGAATTGTGGGGGCACTTCAACCTTTTGTCAAGCACAGATTAAACAAAACTAGGTCTACTTCCTACATGTAGTCATTCAGGACACAGTCTACAGCAGGGATCATCAACTAGATTCAGCTGCTGGCCCATTTCTTCTGGAGCGGATGGTCGGGGGGCTGGAACATAATTACAAATCATTTGTAGACTGCAAATTGACCTCTTCTCCCTCCTCCACCCTCCCCCCTCCTCTTCTAAATAATGTAAACATAAGATTTCAGTTCCTTCTTCTAAGACCAGTGTATAACCATCACTGATTGAAAACTTAACTCAGTCAAAAGCATGTACTGTTATAAAAAAGACATTTTATTTAACAAGTTCAGGTTGGTTTTTCAAAACATTATCAGTCATGTTGTAACTGCAGCGCCACAGTGTACAAAACTCACCTGAATCTCATGGGAAACAACAAACAAATGGAATGTTATGGTCCAAGCTGTTCTGAGGCCAGTATTACTGAGCCAGTATTACCTGCCTAAACCCTCAACCACATCCAATGATGGAGGATCGTCCAGTGTCATCACAATGAGGCAGTCCCAAATGGCACCCTTTTCACTATATAGTGCACTACTTTTGACTAGAGCCCTATGCAAAAGTAGTACACTATAAAGGGAATAGGGCGCCATTTTGAACGAGGCCAATTAATCATTCTATCACAAGGAGTCAGTACCTAGGATGACATAAAGAAGACATCTCATCCTAGGTTAGTCCATGCTAACAACACATTTGGTATGCAACTGTGGGCCATACAACCAACATTCAGACTTTAGTTAGCCACACTGTTTTGATCAACAGTATACAGGACAATGACCATTCAGGGTGTATGAACTCAACTCTGCCACACTGTCCTACTAGCAAACAACATGTTCAATTCCCTATCATGTTACTATGGAAGCTAACCATGGGATTATCTTAAAGGCACATTCAAGTATGGGTTTTAAAGCAACAAACTAAAAGATACATCCACATCATATTGTCACCTAGTTTGCTTTCTTTCTTTCAACAACATATTAATTCATTTACTTAGCACCGACTGGCAGGTGCTTTGACTAAACCTGTGAATTGCACTACTAACATAACACTTTTTTAAATTGGTCCCTCTGATATATAAGCTGATATGACAGGCTCATTTCTGACATTAACTCACACAGAGGAGTTTCTCTATCCATGCTGCAACAGAGACCAAGACTACTGTTATACATCACTTCTCCTTATTGTCTGCTGGGCATCAGCCAGCCAGCAAGTCAGCCAGCAAGTTAGCCAGCCAGCAAGTCAGCCAGCAAGTCAGCCAGCCAGCAAGTCAGCCAGCCAGTCAGTCAGCCAGCCAATCAGTCAGCCAGCAAGTCAGTCAGTCAGCAAGTCAGACAGCCAGTCAGCCAGCAAGTCAGCCAGACAGTCAGTCAGCCAGACAGACAGCAAGTCAGTCAGCCAGCAAGTCAGTCAGCCAGCAAGTCAGTCAGCAAGTCAGTCAGCCAGCCAGTCAGCAAGTCAGTCAGCCAGTCAGCAAGTCAGCCAGCTGCTCTAGACTCAACAGAAAATACATTCTGAATCAGATGAATAAGAACAACTACATAAAACAACCCCAGGTTACCAAAGCTTGTCATATCAAATATAACCTCATAAGCAGACTTTTCACAAGCTAGCTAAGTGAAAAGTCAAATCAGGAGAGACATCCTTACTATGGATCAGCTGCCAGTAGAACCTAACCCAGCCAGTGGGTTGGTAGATACAGTGCCTTCGGAAAGTATTCAGACCCCTTGACTTTTTCCACTTGGTTACGTTACAGCCTTATTCTAAAATGGATAAAATAAATAAAACATCCTCAGCAGTCTACATACAATACCCCATAATGACAAAGCACAAACAGGTTGTTAGACATTTTTGCAAATTTATTAAAAATAAAAAACAGAAATACCTTATTTAGATAAGTAGTCAGATCCTTTGATATGAGACTTCTAAATTGAGCTCAGGTGCTTCCTGTTTCCATTGATCATCCTTGAGATGTTTCTACAACTTGGAGTCCACCTGTGGTAAATTCAATTGATTGGACATGATTTGAAAAAGGCACACACCTGTCTATATAAAGGTCCCACAGTTGACTGTGCATGTCAGAACAAAGACCAAGCCATGAGGTCGAAGGAATTGTCCGTAGAGCTCCGAGACAGGATTGTGTCAAGGCTCAGATCTGGGGAAGGGTATCAAAAAAATGTCTGCAGCATTGAAGATCCCAAGAACACAGTGGCCTCTATCATTCTTAAATGGAAGAAGTTTGGAACCACCAAGACTCTTCCTAGAGCTGGCCGCCCGGCCAAACTGAGCAATCGGGGGAGAAGGGCCCTGGTCAAGGAAGTGACCAAGAACCCGATGGTCACTCTGACAGAGCTCTATAGTTCCTTTGTGGAGATGGGTGAACCTTCCAGAAGGACAACCATCTCTGCAGCGCTCCACCAATCAGGCCTTTATGGTAGAGTGGCCAGACAGAAGCCACTCCTCAGTAAAAGGCCCATGACAGCCCGCTTGGAGTTTGCCAAAAGGCACCTAAAGACTCTGACCACGAGAAACAAGATTCTCTGGTCTAATGAAACAAGATTGAACTCTTTGGCCTGAATGCCAAGCGTCACGTCTGGAGGAAACCTGGCACCATCCCTACAGTGAAGCATGGTGGTGGCAGCATCATGCTGTGGGGATGTTTTTCAGTGGCAGGGACTGGGAGACTAGTCAGGATCGAGGGAAAGATGAACGGAGCAAAGTAGAGAGAGATCCTTGATGAAAACCTTCTCCAGAGTGCTCAGGACCTCAGACTGGGGCGAAGGTTCACCTTCCAACAGGATAACGACCCTAAGCACACAGCCAAGACAACGCAGGAGTGGCTTCGGGACAAGTCTCCGAATTTCCTTGAGTGGCCCAGCTAGAGCCCGGACTTGAACACAATCGAACATCTCTGGAGACATGAATATAGCTGTGCAGCAACGCTCCCCATCCAATCTGACAGAGCTTGAGGGCATCTGCAGAGAAGAATGGGAGAAACTCCCCAAATACAGGTGTGCCAAGCTTGTAGCTTCATACCCAAGAAGACTCTATGCTGTAATCGCTGCCAAAGGTGCTTGAACAAAAGTACTGAGTAAAGGGTCTGAATACTTATGTAAATGTGATATCCGTTTGTTCTGTACATATTTTAAAGAAAATTTATTAATTGATTTGTGTTTGAACGATCAATAGAGCACTTGACCGAAAGCGTTCAGATCAAACTCTGTCTGGTCCTTGCCCTGCTGACACAGTGGAAGAACCATGTCTGGTCTGGAAAACATCTCAAAGCATGCACCATGAGCATTATGAGGAGCAAAGTATGTTGTTGGTTAGAGAACAGCTCTACTGTTATACCTCTGACCTCTATGTTCCTGTTGCACTGTGAGCTCTATGCGAGGATCAAATGGTCAAAACACAGCCTTTGAAATGCTTCATGTCAAAATATGTACATCAAATCAATCAATCTGACCTTTAAAATGAAATAAAGAATGGAAGAAAAGTAAATGTGAAGTACTGAGCCTTTAGTATGTCATTTATGCTGCTGCTCCATATGGTTTCCTACAGTACATTCATCAGGTGCTGCTAACTGAAGCACCAAGATCCTGAGAGAACGTCTTACCAGGAAGATCTTTAACATCAATCTAAATATACACTGGGAGGATTCATCTAGCGCTCTGACGTTTTCACCAGGGTTGGGCTCAATTCCATTTAAAATTCCCAGTCAATTCAGAAAGTAAACCAAACTCAAAATGTTCATCATTGAAAAGGTTTGAAGAGAACTGAAATTGGAATTTCAGTGTACTTCCTGAATGGACAGGAATCGAAATGGAATTAACCCCAACCCTGGTTGACCTGTAGAAATAAATATCCCTGTTATGCACAGACAGAACATGAGAATGTCCCTAAAAGAGAGAGAGGGTTCCGTGTCCCAGGTACTGGTGCAACAAAGAAGAGTGAGTCAGTGTGTCAGACAGAGAGAGGGGGAGGGGGTATCACTGGGAGAAGAACCACCATTAGACCCAAGGCCACGGCAGCTCAGACAGAGGGAGGGGGTACCACTGGGAGAAGAGCCAAACCACCATTAGACCCAAGGCCACGGCAGCTCAGACAGAGAGAGGGGGGTATCACTGGGAGAAGAACCAAACCACCATTAGACCCAAGGCCACGGCAGCTCCAGCCCCCACGTTGAGCAGGATAGGCCTCCAGTACAGCCAGCGCTCTCTCTGCCTCTCTGTGTCCGTCAGTCTCTGTTTCATTAGGTGCAGCTTCTGGGCCGTGCTGGCGATCCGCTCCTCCCTGTGTCTCCTCCTCAGACTGGAATAACATGAGGGTTTCATTACATGGTTACAGAAGTCTGGATGGGTCCTAATTGAATGCCATCTAAACATGCCAGTCTGGAGGGGTCCTAATTGAATGCCATCTAAACATGCCAGTCTGGAGGGGTCCTAATTGAATGCCATCTAAACATGCCAGTCTGGAGGGGTCCTAATTGAATGCCATCTAAACATGCCAGTCTGGAGGGGTCCTAATTGAATGCCATCTAAACATGCCAGTCTGGAGGGGTCCTAATTGAATGCCATCTAAACATACGAGTCTGGATGAGTCTGGATGTGTCCTAATTGAATGCGAGTCTGGATGGGTCCTAATTGAATGCCATCTAAACAGTCTGCCCAGTACTAAAGGCCTACAGCCAACTTCAGTAGGAGTTAAGCAGACAGAAAGCAGCAACACAATAGAAAGAACCAGTAGAGAGGAATACACCCTGAGGGGAACTGACCTCGTCACCTCCGTCCGGTCCTTCTCTGAGCTGTAGCTGTCTGGATCTGGCCCGTCTCCTGATGTCCCGTCCTCTCTGGACAATGCCACAGCCTCAGGCTCCACACAGGGCAGCGGCTGGCCGTTGGGCTTGTCTGAGGGCCGACTGGGGGACGGGGGGGCAGGGGTGTCTAAAGGCCGTGGTGGGGGTGGAGGGGGGGCGGGGAGACACCTGGGAGGGGGGGCAGGGGGCGACTCACACACTGTCTCTCGGTCCTCTCTGGACAGATCTCTCCACTGGCTCTGTGGAGACAGACAGACAGACCAGTACTTAATGATCAACATGGCTCTGTAGAGACAGACAGACCAGTACATAATGACCAACATGGCTCTGTAGAGACAGACAGACCAGTACATAATGACCAACATGGCTCTGTAGAGACAGACAGACCAGTACAGAATTACCAACATGGCTCTGTAGAGACAGACAGACCAGTACATAATGATCAACATGGCTCTGTAGAGACAGACAGACAGACCAGTACATAATGATCAACATGGTTCTGTAGAGACAGACAGACCAGTACATAATGATCAACATGGCTCTGTAGAGACAGACAGACAGACCAGTACATAATGATCAACATGGCTCTGTAGAGACAGACAGACCAGTACATAATGATCAACATGGCTCTGTAGAGACAGACAGACAGACCAGTACTTAATGACCAACAGCTCCTCATACAGACGGACAGACAGACAGACGGACTGAAAGAGGCTGGAATACAGAGGTCTTCATTGACTCTCTTCATGTTACTATAAGGCAGTACAAACCCTCATGTTTGGATACAGTTAGGGAAAAAAGTATTTGATCCCCTGCTGATTTTGTACGTTTGCCCACTGACAAAGACATGATCAGTCTATAATTTTAATGGTAGGTTTATTTGAACAGTGTGAGACAGAATAACAACAAAAAAATCCAGAAAGACATGTCAAAAATGTTATAAATTGATTTGCATTTTAATGAGGGAAATAAGTACAGTGGGGGGAAAAAAGTATTTAGTTAGCCACCAATTGTGCAAGTTCTCCCACTTAAAAAGATGAGAGAGGCCTGTAATTTTCATCATAGGTACACGTCAACTATGACAGACAAATTGAGGGAAAAAAATCCAGAAAATCACATTGTAGGATTTTTAATGAATTTATTTGCAAATTATGGTGGAAAATAAGTATTTGGTCACCTACAAACAAGCAAGATTTCTGGCTCTCACAGACCTGTAACTTCTTCTTTAAGAGGCTCCTCTGTCCTCCACTTGTTACCTGTATTAATGGCACCTGTTTGAACTTGTTATCAGTATAAAAGACACCAGTCCACAACCTCAAACAGTCACACTCCAAACTCCACTATGGCCAAGACCAAAGAGCTGTCAAAGGACACCAGAAACAAAATTGTAGACCTGCACCAGGCTGGGAAGACTGAATCTGCAATAGGTAAGCAGCTTGGTTTGAAGAAATCAACTGTGGGAGCAATTATTAGGAAATGGAAGACATACAAGACCACTGATAATCTCCCTCGATCTGGGGCTCCACGCAAGATCTCACCCCGTGGGGTCAAAATGATCACAAGAACGGTGAGCAAAAATCCCAGAACCACACGGGGGGACCTAGTGAATGACCTGCAGAGAGCTGGGACCAAAGTAACAAAGCCTACCATCAGTAACACACTACGCCGCCAGGGACTCAAATCCTGCAGTGCCAGACGTGTCCCCCTGCTTAAGCCAGTACATGTCCAGGCCCGTCTGAAGTTTGCTAGAGTGCATTTGGATGATCCAGAAGACGATTGGGAGAATGTCATATGGTCAGATGAAACCAAAATATAACTTTTTGGTAAAAACTCAACTCGTCGTGTTTGGAGGACAAAGAATGCTGAGTTGCATCCAAAGAATACCATACCTACTGTGAAGCATGGGGGTGGAAACATCATGCTTTGGGGCTGTTTTTCTGCAAAGGGACCAGGACGACTGATCCGTGTAAAGGAAAGAATGAATGGGGCCATGTATCGTGAGATTTTGCGTGAAAACCTCCTTCCATCAGCAAGGGCATTGAAGATGAAACGTGGCTGGGTCTTTCAGCATGACAATGATCCCAAACACACCGCCCGGGCAACGAAGGAGTGGCTTCGTAAGAAGCATTTCAAGGTCCTGGAGTGGCCTAGCCAGTCTCCAGATCTCAACCCCATAGAAAATCTTTGGAGGGAGTTGAAAGTCTGTTGCCCAGCGACAGCCCCAAAACATCACTGCTCTAGAGGAGATCAGCATGGAGGAATGGGCCAAAATACCAGCAACAGTGTGTGAAAAAGACTTACAGAAAACGTTTGACCTGTGTCATTGCCAACAAAGGGTATATAACAAAGTATTGAGAAACTTTTCTTATTGACCAAATACTTATTTTCCACCATAATTTGCAAATAAATTCATTAAAAATCCTACAATGTGATTTTCTGGATTTTTTCTCTCATTTTGTCTGTCATAGTTGACGTGTACCTATGATGAAAATTACAGGCCTCTCATCTTTTTAAGTGGGAGAACTTGCACAATTGGTGGCTGACTAAATACTTTTTTCCCCCACTGTATTTGACCCCTCTGCAAAACATGACTTAGTACTTGGTGGTAAAACCCTTGTTGGCAATCAGAGGTCAGACGTTTCTTGTAGTTGGCCACCAGGTTTGCACACATCTCAGGAGGGATTTTGTCCCACTCCTCTTTACAGATCTTCTCCAAGTCATTAAGGTTTCGAGGCTGATGTTTGGCAACTTGAACCTTCAGCTCCCTCCACAGATTTTCTATGGGATTAAGGTCTGGAGACTGGCTAGGCCACTCCAGGACCATAATGTGCTTCTTCTTGAGCCACTCCTTTGTTGCCTTGGCCGTGTGTTTTGGGTCATTGTCATGCTGGCATACCCATCCACGATCCATTTTCAATGCCCTGGCTGAGGGAAGGAGGTTCTCACCCAAGATTTGACGGTACATGGCCCCGTCCATCGTCCCTTTGATGCGGTGAAGTTGTCCTGTCCCCTTAGCAGAAAAACACCCCCAAAGCATAATGTTTCCACCTCCATGTTTGACGGTGGGGATGGTGTTCTTGGGGTCATAGGCAGAATTCCTCCTCCTCCAAACACGGCGAGTTGAGTTTATGCCAAAGAGCTCAATTTTGGTCTCATCTGACCACAACTCTTTCACCCAGTTCTCCTCTGAATCATTCAGATGTTCATTGGCAAACTTCAGACGGCCCTGTATATGTGCTTCCTTGAGCAGGGGGACCTTGCGGGTGCTGCAGGATTTCAGTCCTTCACGGCGTAGTGTGTTACCAATTGTTTTCTTGGTGACTATGGTCCCAGCTGCCTTGAGATCATTGACAAGATCCTCCCGTGTAGTTTTGGGCTGATTCCTCACCGTTCTCATGATCATTGCAACTCCACGAGGTGAGATCTTGCATGGAGCCCCAGGCCGAGGGAGATTGACAGTTCTTTTGTGTTTCTTCCATTTGCGAATAATCGCACCAACTGTTGTCACCTTCTCACCAAGCTGCTTGGCGATGGTCTTGTAGCCCATTCCAGCCTTGTGTAGGTCTACAATCTTGTCCCTGACATCCTTGGAGAGCTCTTTGGTCTTGGCCATGGTGAAGAGTTTGGAATCTGATTGATTGATTGCTTCTGTGTACAGGTGTCTTTTATACAGGTAACAAGCTGAGATTAGGAGCACTCCCTTTAAGAGTGTGCTCCTAATCTCAGCTCGTTACCTGTACAAAAGACACCTGGGAGCCAGAAACCTTTCTGATTGAGAGGGGGTCAAATACTTATTTCCCTCATTAAAATGCAAATCAATTCATAACATTTTTTACATGCTTTTTTCTGTCTCTCACTGTTCAAATAAACCTACCATTAAAATGTAAGACTGATCATTTCTTTGTCAGTGGCCAAACGTACAAAATCAGCAGGGGATCAAATACTTTTTTCCCCTCACTGTATAGGCGTAGCACATTGTGTGGCAAGGAGTGAGCACATATTGTCCCTCAATGAAGAAAGTCACAGTTCTGCTAATGTCTAATTTCACACTGACAGTACTCTTCCCTCCCATACAGTATGACCCTGTACAGAGGAGTCACAACCCCCCCCCCCCCCCCCCCCCAAATAGTTTCACATTGACACAGTACTCATCCCTTACACTAGTTACAGTGTGTGCAGAGAAGTCTCCCTACCTGCGCAGAGCAGTCTCCCACGATGTACTTGGCTCCCTCCAGGACAGCCCTGTAGGAGAAACGTAGCTGGTCAGGAGTCTGGATCAGACCCATCCTGTACTCCCTCATGTCCAGCAGAACCCTCTGGATGTCCACCGACAAAGGGTCCTTCCTCTTATCCATCTAGACAGGAGAGAGAGAGTTACTGTGAGTGTCCATCTAGCCGAGAGAGAGAGAGAGTTACAGTGAGGGTCCATCTAGACAGGAGAGGGAGAAAGAGAGAGTTAAAGTGAATGTCCATCTAGATGGGAGAGAGAGAGAGTTACAGTGAGTGTCCATCTAGCCGAGAGGGAGAGAGAGAGAGAGAGTTACAGTGAGTGTCCATCTAGCCGAGAGAAAGAGAGAGAGAGTTACAGTGAGTGTCCATCTAGCCGAGAGAAAGAGAGAGAGAGTTACAGTGAGTGTCCATCTAGATGGGAGAGAGAGAGAGAGTTACAGTGAGTGTCCATCTAGCCGAGAGGGAGAGAGAGAGAGTTACAGTGAGTGTCCATCTAGACAGGAGAGAGAGAGAGTTACAGTGAGTGTACATCTCCGTGTACAACAAAAAACACCAAATAATGCATGCAGAGCGGAATTAGGCCGATTACCGCTAATTATCAAAATCCAGAAAAGAGCCGTTAAATTCTATAACCATTTAAAAGGAAGCGATTCCCAAACCTTCCATAACAAAGCCATCACCTACAGAGAGATGAACCTGGAGAAGAGTCCCCTAAGTAAGCTGGTCCTGGGGCTCTGTTCACAAACACAAACAGACCCCACAGAGCCCCAGGACAGCAACACAATTAGACCCAACCAAATCATGAGAAAACAAAAAGATAATTACTTGACACATTGGAAAGAATTAACAAAAAAACAGCGCAAACTAGAATGCTATTTGGCCCTAAACAGAGAGTACACAGTGGCAGAATACCTGACCACTGTGACTGACCCAAACTTAAGGAAAGCTTTGACTATGTAGACTCAGTGAGCATAGCCTTGCTATTGAGAAAGGCCACCGTAGGCAGACCTGGCTCTCAAGAGAAGACAGGCTATGTGCACACTGCCCACAAAATGAGGTGGAAACTGAGCTGCACTTCCTAACCTCCTGCCAAATGTATGACCATATTAGAGACACATATTTCCCTCATATTACACAGATCCACAAAGAATTTGAAGACAAACCCAATTTTGATAAACTCCCATATCTATTGGGTGAAATACCACAGTGTGCCATCACAGCAGCAAGATTTGTGACCTGTTGCCATGAGAAAATAGCAACCAGTGAAGAAAAAACACCATTGTAAATACAACCTATATTTATGTTTATTTATTTTCCCTTTTTGTACTATTTGCACATCATTACAACACCGTATATAGACATAATGACATTTGAAATGTCTTTATTCTTTTGGAACTTCTGAGTGTAATGTTTACTGTTCACTTTTTATTGTTTATTTCACTTTTGTTTATTATCTACTTCACTTGCTTTGGCAATGTTAACATACATTTCAAATGCCAATAAAGCCCTTAAATTGAACTGAATTGAGAGAGAGTTACAGTGAGTGTCCATCTAGACAGGAGAGAGAGAGAGTTACAGTGAGTGTCCATCTAGACAGGAGAAAGAGAGAGTTACAGTGAGTGTCCATCTAGACAGGAGAAAGAGAGAGTTACCGTGAGTGTCCATCTAGACAGGAGAAAGAGAGAGTTACAGTGAGTGTCCATCTAGACAGAGAAAGAGAGAGTTACAGTGAGTGTCCATCTAGACAGGAGAGAGAGAGAGTTGGTGGTCCTCTGTAGCTCAATTGGTAGAGCATGGCGCTTGTAACGCCAGGGTAGTGGGTTCGATCCCCGGGACCACCCATACGTAAAAAATGTATCGCACAGACTCCTGTAATTCGCTTTGGATAAAGCGTCTGCTAAATGCATATTATTATTATTATTATAGACATGAGAAAGAGAGAGTTTACAGTGAGTGTCCATCTAGACAGAGAAAGAGAGAGTTACAGTGAGTGTCCATCTAGACAGGAGAGAGAGAGAGTTACAGTGAGTGTCCATCTAGACAGGAGAAAGAGAGAGTTACAGTGAGTGTCCATCTAGACAGGAGAGAGAGTATGACTTCACCTTCAACATCAGTGACAAGTGAAGACTGCCTGGTCTACATAATGCTGAACAGTGAATTTAGACTGGAGACACAGGTGAGAAATACAGTTTGACCAGGAGCTGATCTTAAATACCAAGTAGCAAGCCTTGTCCGAGACAGAATCTCCTGTGTCTGTAGCGTGAGCAAGCTTCATGTCCAAGTACACCCCCTGAACAGGACGCTAGTCTGGTTTCATACCAAGTAGGGCGTTCAATTAGAACGTAAAACAGGAAGTATTGATATTACCAGGATGAGACACGTGTCAACCAATGAGAAGGTCCCAGAGCGTCCAATCCCAGCGCTGCAGTGGACCACGGCGGGCCCATGCTCCGCCCCCAATGAGCCAGACTCCCGCACCTTGACCAGGAAGTTGAGGAAGGACGCCGGGGATTCTGGGACGCCAAAGTCAGGCCAGGTGGTGTAGTGAAAGTGGTATATCTCTCTGGTTTGTCCTGTCTGGAGAAGGAATGTCATTTTAATACAGTGACTGTGCTAACAACAACTTCATCACACAGAGTCAATGGAGAAGCAGTGCTCACCTCTGTATTCCTCAGCTCCAGCACTCGTATGATGTAGTAGGACTTGTCCTCTTCTTTCACCAGCGTCACAACAAACCCTGTGTCAGTGTAACACAACTGGTGTTCCTCAGCTGTGGGCCAGTACTGAGCACACTTCTCCTGTTGGGGGACAATACATTAGTGATTAGCCCAACCTGAACGCCTGATGGGATGGCTAACTAGCTACTGTAGCTACATGGTCTATTTGTGCATGATGATCACAGTACCCTGGACAGAGATACAATGAACAGCGGTGTGTTGGTCCACACTTGGTTGTGTGGCCTAGAGTGTGGTGTAAACCTAATGCATAGGCTTGTCTGTCAGAGAGGGATGCCAATGTACTGTAGTTACAGATGCCTTTTCTAGGATTCTGTTCAGCATTATAACATTTATGTAGGCTACTTACAGATCCCTTCTCTATGATTCTGTTCAGCATTATAACGGCTTTGGAGTTCTGCTCCCAAATCATCAACCAGAAGTGACCACAGGTGTTCCTCAGGGGTCCCTTTGGGAGAAAACACAACACACTGCTTATTCACCAACTTAAAACACAGACCAATCCTCAAATGTAGATCCATAATCATTAGTACATTTTTGTGAAAGTCTAATTTACATGATCAGTACATAATGAATGAAAGTCTGAGCTACTTGTCTGCACTTACCTGGGATAGAATATAGGTTCTTTGGGCTTCCTCCACCACGACTAAACTAGCATTGATGTAGTCATTTTCAGAATGTTCAAGTTTAACACGACTGTGATCATCTGTAACCAGAGACAAATATATTTAAATGTGTAAATTAAAACTATTGATAATCGTCGAGGTGCAAGTATTCATCACAATGATGACTAGTGTAGGGTACTTCATAAATTATAGTTAGACAAAATACTTACAGGGACTGACATCTCTATATCGGTTTAGATTCCGATTCTCTGGAAGTTTTGCCATTTTGTATGAATATTCACTGGCTTGGTTTCGGATTTCCTGAGAAAGCATGAGAACAAATACCAGTCAGTGACTGTGAATATGATTATCATTAAACTGTGTACAGATCAACAGCAACTAGCAGCAGACATCTGCAGTTGCAGCACTAACAAACAAGCTATCAACTTCTGAGAAAGGCTTACTCCTGGCTACTGGCTATACACTACCTAACTAATTAGCTAGGTCAGCTTACTACTGGGTATACACTACCTAACTAATTAGCTAGGTCAGCTTACTACTGGCTACTGGGTATACACTACCTAACTAATTAGCTAGGTCAGCTCACTACTGGGTATACACTACCTAACTAATTAGCTAGGTCAGCTTGCTACTGGGTATACACTACCTAACTAATTACCTAGGTCAGCTTACTACTGGCTATACACTACCTAACTAATTAGCTAGGTCAGCTTACAACTGGCTATACACTACCTAACTAATTAGCTAGGTCAGCTTACTACTGGCTACTGGCTATACACTACCTAACTAATTAGCTAGGTCAGCTTACAACTGGCTATACACTACCTAACTAATTAGCAAGGTCAGCTTACTACTGGCTATACACTACCTAACTAATTAGCTAGGTCAGATTACTACTGGCTATACACTACCGTTCAAAAGTTTGGGGTCACTTAGAAATGTCCTTATTTTCCATGAAAACATACATGAAATGAGTTTGAATAGGAAATATAGCAAAATGAATAGGAAATGTAGTCATTGACAAGTTTTAATTGAAATAATAATTGTGTCTTTCAAACTTTGCTTTCATCAAAGAATCCTCCATTTGCAGCAATTACAGCCTTGCAGACCTTTGGCATTCTAGTTGTCAATTTGTTGAAGTAATCTGAAGTGATTTCACCCCATGCTTCCTGAAGCACCTCCCACAAGTTGGATTGGCTTGATGGGCACTTATAATAATAATAATAATATAATATGCCATTTAGCAGACGCTTTTATCCAAAGCGACTTACAGTCATGCGTGCATACATTTTTGTGTATGGGTGGTCCCGGGGATCGAACCCACTACCTTGGCGTTACAAGCGCCGTGCTCTACCAGCTGAGCTACAGAGGACCACTTCTTACGTACCATATGGTCAAGCTGCTCCCGCAACAGCTCAATAGGGTTGAGATCCGGTGACTGTGCTGGCCATTCCATTATAGACAGAATACCAGCTGACTGCTTCTTCCCTAAATAGTTATTGCATAGTTTGGAGCTGTGCTTTGGGTCATTGTCCTGTTGTAGGAGGAAATTGGCTCCAATCAAGCGCCGTCCACAGGGTGTGGCATGGCATTGCAAAATGGAGTGATAGCCTTCCTTCTTCAAGATCCCTTTTACCTTGTACAAATCTCCCACTTTACCACCACCAAAGCACCCCCAGACCATCACATTTGAGATGATTGTGGACTACAGGGAAAAAAAGGACTGAGCACGCCCCCATTCTCATCGATGGGGCTGTAGTGGAACAGGTTGAGAGCTTCAAGTTCCTTGGTGTCCACATCACCAACAAACTATCATGGTCCAAACACATCAAGACAGTCGTGAAGAGGGCACGACAAAGCCTATTCCCCCTCAGGAGACTGAAAAGATTTGGCATGGGTCCTCAGATCCTCAAAAAGTTATACAGCTGCACCATCGAGAGCATCCTGACTGGTTGCATCACCGCCTGGTATGGCAACTGCTCGGCCTCCGACCGCAAGGCACTACAGAGGGTAGTGCGTACGGCCCAGTACATCACTGGGGCCAAGCTTCCTGCCATCCAGGACCTCTATACCAGGCGGTGTCAGAGGAAGGCCCTAAAAATTGTTCAAGACTCCAGCCACCCTAGTCAGACTGTTCTCTCTGCTACCGCACGGCAAGCAGTACCAGAGCGCCAAGTCTAGGTCCAAAAAGCTTCTCAACAGCTTCTACCCCCAAGCCATAAGACTCCTGAACAGCTAATCATGGCTACCCAGACTATTTGCACTGCCCCCCCACCCCACCCCCCTCTTTTACACTGCTGCTACTCTGTTTATTATTTATGCATAGTCACTTGAACTCTACCCACATGTACATATTAACTCAACTAGCCGGTGCCCCCGCACACTGACTCTGTACCGGTACCCCCCTGTATATAGGCTCCCTACTGTTATTTTACTTCGCTGCTGCTCTTTAGTTATTTGCTTTCATTTTTTTTACTTAACACTTTTTTATTTTACTATTTATTTTCTAATTTTTAACTGCATTGTTGGTTAAGGGCTTGTAAGTAAGCATTTAACTGTAATGTCTACACCTGTTGTATTCAGTGCATGTGGCAAATACAATTTGAATTGATTTGATTTGATTGACTCCACCATGCTTGACAGGTGGCATCAAGCACTCCTCCAGCATCTTTTCATTTGGTCTGCATCTCACAAATGTTCTTCTTTGTGATCCAAACACCTCAAACTTCGATTCGTCTGTCCATAACACTTTTTTCCAATCTTCCTCTGTCCAGTGTGTGTTCTTTTGCCCATCTTAATATTTTCTTTTTATTGGCCAGTCTGAGATATGGCTTTTTCTTTGCAACTCTGTAGCTCAGCTGGTAGAGCACGGCGCTTGTAACGCCAAGGTAGTGGGTTCGATCCCCGGGACCACCCATACACAAAAAAAAAATGTATGCACGCATGACTGTAAGTCGCTTTGGATAAAAGCGTCTGCTAAATGGCATATTATATTATTATTATTATTATTATTATTATAACTCTGCCTAGAAGGTCAGCATCCTGGAGTCGCCTCTTCACTGTTGACGTTGAGATTGGTGTTTTGCGGGTACTATTTAATGAAGCTGCCAGTTGAGGACCTGTGAGGCGTCTGTTTCTCAAACTAGACACTAATGTATTTGTCCTCTTGCTCAGTTGTGCACCGGGTCCTCCCACTCCTCTTTCTATTCTGGTTAGAGCCAGTTTGCGCTGTTCTGTGAAGAAAGTAGTACACAGCGTTGTACGAGATCTTCAGTTTCTGGCTACACACTACCTAACTAATTAGCTAGGTCAGCTCACCTCTATAACCCTGCCTATAATCTATATCCCTGTCCCTAGCCTAGAACCTCTACTATAACCCTGCATGTAATCTATATCCCTATCCCTAGCCTAGAACCTCTACTATAACCCTGCATATAATCTATATGCCTGTCCCTAGCCTAGAACCTCTACTATATCCCTGTCCCTAGCCTAGAACCTCTACTATAACCCTGAATATAATCTATATCCCTGTCCCTAGCCTAGAACTACTATAACTGTCTATCCTATGTAGAATACACAACCACATGAGCCAGGTGTGCCAGATATATAATCATGTTCAATTATTCACATAATTGTGGTAAAAATGTGCCCAAAAAGCAGTCTGAATCGCTGATTTCTGAAGATAATGGCAACATTTCATCTTCAAACGTGTAAAATGGATATGTGAATAGTCATGGATGTGAGCGGATTACAATGATATATTATGTTATCCTATTAACTGTTTTCATAAAACAGAAGACTAGAAACTTGCCATATACATTACAATGTAAAATTCCATAGGAATGCCAACACATTTTCACCTGATGATGAGAGCAACAAACCATTACACGTAGTTAGTCTAAATGAAGCTGTATTCCTTTTCTAGCATGATGGAGCACCTTGCCATAAGGCAAAAGTGATAACTAAGTGGCTCGGGGAACAAAACATTGAAATGTCCATGGCCAGGAAACTCCCCAGACCTTAATCCCATTGAGAACTTGTGGTCGATCCTCAAGAGGCAGGTGGACAAACAAAAACCCACAAATTCTGACAAACTCCAAGCATTGATTATGCAAAAATAGGCTGCCATCAGTCAGGATGAGGCCCAGAAGTTAATTGACAGCATGCCAGGGCGGATTGCAGAGGTCTTGAAAAAGAAGGGTCAACACTGCAAATATTGACTCTTTGCATAAACGTAATGTAATTGTCAATAAAAGCCTTTGACACTTATGGAATGCTTGTAATTATACTTCAGTATACCATAGTAACATCTGACAAAAATCTCATTACACTGAAGCAGCGAACTTTGAGGAGACCAATACTTTTGACCACGACTGTAGGTAGAGTTATTAAAGTGACTATGCATAGATAATGGCATGAAACAAACTGTGACTACATACAACTACCATTGCTGCACTGCTAGCACACATTTTTCAACTCTAGGGATATAAACCTTGAAACAAATCACAGACATCGTCGGCCCTAGTGAGCCCGACTGGCTCCCTGGCTCATGGACTACTAGAGTGCATGTAAATGTATGAAAAATAAATAAATCAAACATTAGCTATAACACTCAAAAACCAGAATTAGAAAACAGGACTATGTGTTCCTTGTGGCCGAGTAGGTATATATAGGTTATTAACTAACGTTAGTGTTCTGGACATCCACTTCATTGTAATCCGCCCAGTTTCCTAGATATGGCATTAGCAACACATGCGCACATATTATTTCAGGAAGTCTTTGCGACTTCTCAGAAACAGGCTAGCCAGCTAATGTTGATGCACGTTTTCCGGAAGTCTGAGTCTTTTCCTGTAAAGCGTATCAGTTTATTTTTCAGGATGAACACCAGTTTGACCAACATTATCCATTCAATATACGGTTAAAAGGACATAGTTTGGGCTAGTATGATGGATAATGTGCATAATTGCTAGCTAGTAACCGGCAGATAGCTAGTTAGTCAATTTAGCTACCTAACGTTAGCAACCAAAAAGAACACAATGAATGCCCAACTTACATTGTAAAGGTTTTGCCACTGCCCCGACGAATCTATGTCCTCAAACTGTTGATCCATTTTGGTATTGTGGATGTCTTGCTAAAAAATAGTATTTGAACGTTACCGTTGTCAATGGTAAGTTAGCTGGCTAGCAACCGACTGACAGCCATCTACAGCGGAGAGTCAGCCAACTGTGTGTGTGTGTGTGTGTGTGTGGGGGGGGGGGGGGGGGGGGTAGATACCTACGTCATCTAAGCCAGGGGTTACCAAACTTGGTCCTGGGGGGCAGGTTTAGTTTTTTTTGGACCTAGCGCTACACAGCTTATTCAAGTAATCAAAGATTGGTTATTTGAATCAGCTGTGTGTTGCTAGGGGCAACAACCAAAACGTTCCCCAGGAACGAGTTTGGGGAAAACCTGATCTACGCATGCGCTCTCGCTCAGCCCGTACACAAGAGAAAACTAAATATTTGTACTGATGGAAAGGTCTTTATGGTTTTAAATTAGTACTAAAGACTGGCACCCAGACCCAGTGAAGTTTCTTTCGAACGATACGTTAGTTTCGCGTAGCTACCCTCTCTCGATTGACTCTAGCAAAAAAAAATGTTTTTACGGCCCTTTGTGGTCGCCATGTGAAGTGTGTGAACTCTTGCTAGTTACTGGCGCCAAGACCGGGAGCCGCATGACAGCAGCGTCCATTCTGAGGAAGAAAACGGAGCTACTAAATAAACATGTTTGTGGCTCGTAGCATTGCAGCAGATCACAAAGATCTAATCCACGATGTTTCCTATGATTTTCACGGCCGGAGAATGGCAACTTGTTCAAGTGACCAAAGTGTCAAGGTAAAAAAAACAAGTGAGCTAAGCTAGCTAGCTAGTAGCAGGCTAGCTTGCTTGCTAACTCTTTACCTTATCGATATTGAAATAAGTAGCTAATTCAGCAACCAAATTAACTGCAGCAAACTAGTTTAATTGATGACTATTACCCACTTTAGAGAAAAGTAATTAACTGACTATTTGCAGTTTAAAACAGCTTGCTAACGTTAACTAAGCCAGCCAACCAGATTGCAAGCCATGTAACTAGCTTGCTATGTTAGCTGGATGTAAACAAAATGCACAGACTGTAACCAGCGCTTGCTTTAGTAAAACATTGTCAATGTTCTTCCTCCTTCAGGTTTGGGACAAGAGTGAAAGTGGGGAGTGGCACTGCACTGCCAGCTGGAAGGCAAGTCTATTTTATTTCTTACATGCCAAGATTTAAAAGTATGTTTTTAAGTGTCTGCTTTGAATTGTAGCTAGCTACTAGGCCTAACTATCTTCTCTCCCTTTGAAAGGTCTTTGCCTATTAAATTTGGAAATGCACTATGTAGAATGAAGGTTTTGTAATGATCTCGTCTTTGCAGACACACAGCGGGTCCGTATGGAGGGTGACATGGGCCCACCCTGAGTTTGGACAGGTGCTGGCCTCCTGCTCCTTTGACCGAACAGCTGCCGTGTGGGAGGAGATCGTTGGGGAGTCAAACGACAAACAGAGGGGGCAGAGCCACTGGGTAAAACTCCTGGACATTCAGCTACGAGCCTGTTCCCACATCTATTTGTACTGTCTCACCAATTCCAATTGTCTTTGTCATGCCAGTTTGGCACATGCCGGTCTTGTACCAGGCTATTATCCAGCCACTGCAGTAAGGGATTCTCTACCCAAGTGATAGAGTCAAGGAGACATGCGCCCGGATGTACAGTATCTGTAACAAACTCTCATTCTGTTTAGATAAAGAGGACGACGCTGGTGGACAGCAGGACGTCGGTGACGGATGTGAAGTTTGCTCCTAAACACATGGGTCTGATGCTGACGACGTGCTCAGCAGACGGGGTGGTGAGGATCTACGAGGCTCCAGACGTGATGAACCTCAGCCAGTGGTCCCTGCAGCACGAGATCTCCTGCAAACTCAGCTGCTCCTGTATCTCCTGGAACCCCTCCAGGTCTGCTTCACTGAGTCGGTAGATGTAGGCCTAATTTCAGTCTACGGTCATTTGACTATCGGTTGCGTGAAACCAGTCAGTGATTTTTAAGATGAATATCACTTTATTCGTCAATTGTACACAATGTCCAATGAACTGAAATGTGACTTCTGCTTTGATGAATCAATGGCAGTGTTGCTGATTGTCCACTGCACACGCTAACAGCCCTGTGTCACGTTCTCTATAGCTGGGGTATTCAACTCTTACCTGACGAGGTCCAGAACCTGCTGGTTTACTGCTCTACCTGATAATTAATTGCACACACCTGGTGTCCCCGGTCTAAACCAGTCCCTGATTAGAGGGGAACTGGCTTCAAGGTCCAGAGTGTTCCACTGCTGTGAAAATGCATTTGGAGCGCTCCGGCAGCTGTAGATACTAATGAGCTATTGTATTGATGACTATTAACAACATGTTACCTAGTTTAATAACTGTCTATTTATAATTTTCTCCTTAGCTCTCGTGCCCACCCGCCCATGATAGCAGTGGGAAGTGATGACAGCAACGTGATGTACGGTGGGAAGGTTCAGATCTACGAGTACAACGAAAACACTAGGTCAGTCCTATTACATGATTAGCACAACAAACACTAGGTCAGTCCTATTACATGATTAGCACAACAAACACTAGGTCAGTCCTATTACATGATTAGCACAACAAACACTAGGTCAGTCCTATTACATGATTAGCACAACAAACACTAGGTCAGTCCTATTACATGATTAGCACAACAAACACTAGGTCAGTCCTATTACATGATTAGCACAACAAACACTAGGTCAGTCCTATTACGCGATTAGCACAACAAACACTAGGTCAGTCCTATTACGTGATTAGCACAACAAACACTAGGTCAGTCCAATTACATGAATAGCACAACAAACACTAGGTCAGTCCTATTACATGATTAGCACAACAAACACTAGGTCAGTCCTATTACATGATTAGCACAACAAACACTAGGTCAGTCCTATTACATGATTAGCACAACAAACACTAGGTCAGTCTATTACATGATTAGCACAACAAACACTAGGTTCAGTCCTATTACATGATTAGCACAACAAAACACTAGGTCAGTCCTATTATATGATTAGCACAAACAAACACTAGGTCAGTCCTATTACATGATTAGCACAACAAACACTAGGTCAGTCCTATTACATGATTAGCACAACAAACACTAGGTCAGTCCTATTACATGATTAGCACAACAAACACTAGGTTAGTCCTATTACATGATTAGCACAACAAACACTAGGTCAGTCCTATTACATGATTAGCACAACAAACACTAGGTCAGTCTTACAGATAGATTACATTATTGGGCCCCGTGTAGCTCAGTTGGTAGAGCATGGCAATTGCAACGCCAGGGTTGTGGGTTCGATTCCCACGGGGGGCCAGTATGAAAGAAACACACAAAAAAACATGTATGCACTCACTAACTGTAAGTCGCTCTGGATAAGAGCGTCTGCTAAATGACTAAAAATGTATTTTAAAAAAATGACATTATACAGGTGGAGCTGATGGTTACATGAACCCCACAGTTCCCTTGGGAGAAATAAAGCTATTCTATTTTATTCTACTGTATCATGTTGTTAGACAATTTCGCTCTTAAAATAGAGGAATCTATCTTTGATCAGGAAATATGCCAAAGCTGAGACATTGATGACGGTGACTGACGCGGTGCATGACATAGCCTTCGCCCCTAACCTGGGGCGGTCCTTCCACGTGCTCGCCATAGCAACCAAAGACGTTCGGATCTTTAAGTTGGTACCTTTGCGGTGAGTGGATAAATGTAGATGTTGTTTCTGACTATAGGAGAGGCAAAATAGGACTAATGTGTGAAGTACGTATTGAGAGTTTTCTAATAGATATTAGCTGTATCTTTTGGACTGGCTGTATTGTCTAAGTAGTATGTAGATCACAGCAGTTCACAGGCTGTACAGTGTCAATATATTATACTGACCTGTTCTGCATATCTCTCTCATCTGACAGGAAGGAGAGCAGCTCAACAGGCCCTACTAAGTTTGAGGTTCAGATCGTGGCCCAGTTTGACAACCACAACTCCCAGGTGTGGAGAGTCTCCTGGAACATCACCAGCACCCTGCTGGCCTCCTCAGGAGACGACGGCTGTGTCAGGCTCTGGAAAGGTAGAGTACATATCTAGTATAGACTAGAAACATTGATTCTATTAATGATGCACTCTGGGATCTTAAAGGTGTGCTATGCGGAAATCGCTCCGCCATTTCCTGGTTGCTAAAATTCTAATAGTTCGCCTAATTTCCGTTGGTGAGAAAACATGCAACTATAGTGTAGAGAATCACTGTACTGACTAAACCGCTGTGAAATATATATTTTCCATAACCAAACATATTGTATTTTCAGCTGTTTGAAGCTGGTGCACAAAACCAAAAGTAAAAGACATAAAAATAATATGTAATACCGGGTAGCATAGGAACAACCAGATCGATAACTTATATTTCTATGTGGTCGCCCAAAAAGTTACCGTATTATATTTATTATATATATTATTACCGCACTATAAGGCGCACCGGAGTTAAATTGAATGATGTGTACATATATAAGCCGCACTGGACTATAAGCCGCAGGTGTTTTAATGTTTAAGGTCTTCTAGTGGCCGTTAGCTGTAAAAATCCATAGATTAGCCACACCGTTATATAAACCGCAGGGTCGAAAAATGGGGGGAAAAGGCGCGGCTTATAGTCCGAAAATTACGGTACATATTGCAGCTTGAAGCACAACAAATTCGTAACACATCGCACAAAATGGATGACGTAGTGCAGAAAAAAACAGGGACCCGTTTTGGCTCGTGAGCACCACTTCCAAAACTACTGGCTAAAATTGTAGAGAAGTTTGAGAGTGCATCTTTTAAATGACTTAACTAGTTGTAATATGAGGCAGAGCTGACGACTGACTGCCTCTATGCTGGAACTTGACAATGACCACTAGATTTGGCAAGGCCGCACCAACCGGTTTGGGACCAGGCTAAAAGTCTGTGCAATAATTAAAGCCAATGGTTTAGCTGAAATAAAATAAAGTGCCATCTACTAGTGAACTGTGTAAGGTTCCTGTTTCATATGTACACCACACATTTACACTATTTTAATTAGTTCTCATACCAATCTTCTGGTCCCCAGCCAACTATATGGACAACTGGAAGTGTACAGGCATCCTGAAGGGAGACGGTAGTCCTGTCAACGGGTCGTCAGGACAACCCAGTGCCATGAATACCGTGGTGGGGTCGACTGTCCAGACCTCCCAGAGTGCACTGAACGGCTCTGCTGCAGGAAGGTAGGAGGCTACGCCCACTGTCGGAGCTGACGACTGACTGCTTTCCTCTCTCTGGGTCTGACTGACCCTGCAGCACTGACCCCTCCCTGGGTCAACTGGCACCGTGGGCTGCACTCATTCAAAGAGCTTGGCTTCTGGCAAGGCCTAGCAGGTCAGACCCAGCACATAGGCCTGCTCCCTGTGCTAGGCCTGTCTGCTAGTCATAAAAGGAGTGTTTGGGAGGGGGGTTTGCTACAGTTTAATGTTAGCACAACAGCAGGTTGGTGTTTTATTGTACACTTTTTTTTTTTGGGGGGTGATTGATTGTTTACACAATTTTAGGTTGAGGGAACAAGAATGTTATTTTGAAGAATATAATTTTTACATTTTAGATTAGTTACAATTACAGATGTCTGTCATCATCACATAATGCCCCAGAAATTGAGTTTAAGCTTTTCTCATTTCATGGTCTTCATACCAGGGCCAAACATACAAGCTTGCTAAATGGAATACTTTACTCTTTTGATTTAATCTTCTTATGATAGAATGTAAATAATGTTTGGTGGGCATATTGATAAAAAATAAAGTTCATATTTTCAATACTTTTTTTTTTTTTTTTTTTTTTTAACCAAAAAGTTGCCAAAATCTTTGCATGGTGGAGGAACATCTGGACTATAATCTGGTAATAATCCCTATTAACCTGCTGGTAATCTGTCATTAATCTGAATGAAATAGTGACTACAGGCCGGTAACCATACTAGTGCTTTGATAACACACAATGTTAATATTGCTGAGTTTACATTCAATATTCCACCTTGTACTATACATCAACATTCCTTTCCAGGCGTTATACTCTCACCTAGTACTGTACGTTGGTTCATAATAAAAGTCTAACATGCCCTCGCTTGTGGTGACTATTCTGCCTTAAAATCCACTCCATTCTGAAAGGCCTCTGCTAACCTGTTACATTGTGACTGCATTGTACAGCGTATTGTTTCTGTTTTAATAATGACAACTTTTTCTGTACTGTCAATCTTGATAAATGCATCTTATTGTGATTTGTGTTCATGACGGTGTGTATGTCTGATTGAAGTTGTTCAGTCTAATTGGAAATGAAGTAGTTTGCTTGCGTGTTATTATCCCGTTTCAATAAGGCCTCGTCCCCGTGTGGTCTATTGGACGTGATGGATGCTGCTTGATGCATGCACACAGGAAGGGCAGGAGAACCCCCTTTAGCCCTCGCCCGCGACGCCTGACTGCCCCCAACACACTCCACCAGCCTGCAGACTATTGATCTAAAGCCCATTGACCAGCCGGCACCTCACTTCTCTATGATGTTTCCATATGTGGGCAAGGATGCCACTGCTTCAGGAATACTTGGTTCTAATTGGTCGAGTGGGTGTTTTTGATTTATTTTAGATAACACCACAGATCGGTAAAACATCTAAATGAATACACCCCACAGTCTTCTGTTTTGTTCATGTGTCTGTTAGTTCTGCTGAATACAGTGTCTTTTGTTTTGTGTTCATCCTGCTTCTGCACGTCTTGCCCTTCACTTTTACTGTTCTGTATAGCTGCCTTCCTATTTTAATTCACTTCTCATTTCTCTGTTTTTGTTTGTTTATTTGTATCCCATTGTTGTCTGTTTCCTGTTCCTGTCTGGTCGTTGTCTGTTTCCTGTTCCTGTCTGGTCCATGTCTGTTCTCTGTTCCTGTCTGTTTCCTGTTCCTGTCTGGTCCATGTCTGTCTCTGTGTTGTTTCAGGTATTTCTTCCCCCCTCTGGACGCCCCCAGGGCAGGGTCCAGGTACGGCCACCTGCTGCCCCCCCCCTCCCTGATAGAGCACTGTGATGCCCAGTCCAGTCCCCCGCCTGTCCCCCCACAGCCTGGCTGTACACAGCCAGCTCCCCCAGTCCCCTCTCTCCATCTATGGCCAGCTCCCCCAGTCCCCTCTGGCCATCTATGGCCAGCTCCCCCAGTCCCCTCTGGCCATCTATGGCCAGCTCCCCCAGTCCCCTCTGGCCATCTATGGCCAGCCCCCACACTCCCCCCTGTCTCTGCACAGACTGTACTCACCCTCCAGAGCCCTCAACCCCCTGCCTGAACACGACTGACCCTCCAGAGCCCTCAACCCCCTGCCTGAACACGACTGACCCTCCAGAGCCCTCAACCCCCTGCCTGAACACGACTGACCCTCCAGAGCCCTCAACCCCCTGCCTGAACACGACTGATCCTCCAGAGCCCTCAACCCCCTGCCTGAACACGACTTACCGTCTAGAGCCCTCAACCCCATAAAACTAGTGATTCTTGATAAGCAAAAATGTAATGTTTTCTTAGTAAGACATTTTGTTTTTACGATAGTCCCTCCCTAATATGAACAGCCCTAGTGCTGACTGACGATTCTCCTCCCTTGCAGTTTGCCCAGATGTAGTTGCCCAGAGTTGTGACTGACGATTCTCCTCCCTTGCAGTTTGCCCAGATGGAGTTGCCCAGAGTTGTGACTGACGATTCTCCTCCCTTGCAGTTTGCCCAGATGTAGTTGCCCAGAGTTGTGACTGACGATTCCCCTCCCTTGCAGTTTGCCCAGATGTAGTTGCCCAGAGTTGTGACTGACGATTCTCCTCCCTTGCAGTTTGCCCAGATGGAGTTGCCCAGAGTTGTGACTGACGATTCTCCTCCCTTGCAGTTTGCCCAGATGGAGTTGCCCAGAGTTGTGACTGACGATTCTCCTCCCTTGCAGTTTGCCCAGATGGAGTTGCCCAGAGTTGTGACTGATGATTCCCTAGATGTATTTGATCTTTAGTAGTTGGAGATCAACGGATGTATTTATTTCATTAAAAACCAACATGCTGGTTTACTATGGTGCCTGCGGTTCAAACTCACAGCACTGTGTTGGAATGTGTCTTTACTTTATAAGACAGTGGCTCTATATGTGTTATTCCTGTGTGTTTATTTAATTTCAAGCCTAATGTAGCATAAAACAAATGGGGGCTAGTCGATGCATATGAGAAATGTATTTCAAATAACAAATGTTCATTCACAATGTCTAGACTGTGTGTGTTGTAGACTGTAGCATCACCATAGTAACATTAAAACCCCAACACTGTTATACAATGTAGCTGTGTATCCAACGCACAGTGTCACCCATGAATGACTACCGTGTGAATCAGCCGTTACTATAATAGGTAGTGATCCAGAGGTATCGCATGGTTTGAGCCTGGATTTGGTCTGAGGGCCCTGAGCACTTCACATTCTAGCAGTGGGTTTCTCTCAGGAAACCGTCTATCGTTTTCATACTGTACGGCAAGTATCTGAAGTCAACAGAAAGATGGGGGTCAGTCAGAATTGGTATGGTGTGTTTAATTACTGTGCAGCTGTCAGCTAGCCATATGATGGTTGCAGCTGCTGTGGGGAATATATGATACTCCTGCAAGTTCCTGACCACTCCTTAGACTTAATGATACAGTATGGATGCTATTGAATCTGCAACAAGTGCTACACATTTTGAATATATATTACATACATTTCAAGAGCAAAATAATATTCAATTTAACTATATCACAACAATTAGTTGATGAGAAGCACTTCAATCCAATGCTATAATTTCAGAATGTAAGGACCATAGCGGTAAGGACATTGATCTGAGTAATATATATATAATTGTTTTGGCCTCTACAATTGAACTAATTATAGTAAAATGACAGGATGACAATCCAATGGTGATTTAGCCTTTCACAGTGTCAAAGAGGTTAGTCCAATCAAAACGTATCTTTCTATCTACGTCCCGCCCACAGTGAGCGACGCTAGCGCGGGCTTCCTGTGAATGAACCAACTGGATCCCTTTTTTCTTCGAGAGAAACGCTGCGGTTTGTTACTTATCACTATGCCAGAACCTTATAACTGGGTGTGAAAAGACGTTATCATTTGAACGTTTCGTGGCTTGTGTTATAATTAATCAATTCAACTAAGACGTGTTGCTATTGTTAGAAATTGCGTAATTCAAATCGGTTATTGGAATAAGAGAAAACATAATCAAGAGATATTCAATCCAAGCTAAATTTATAATATGCAAAATGTATGTATGATAAGTATGATGGTTCGTATACGGGCTCACTGAAATACCACGCAGGGCAGACAGAGAACTGATCCATTGTTACAGGCTGTTCTTTTAAATACCCTGACAGTTATAGTTCCCGCTCCTTGCTGGGCCTATCAGGGTAGAGGTTGGGCGTGGTTTAGATTTGCCCAACCTATCACTGGCGCTCAGGCTGGTCCCAGCCCCTTGGCGCTCCACTGTTGCCAGGCATAAGTTGTTATCACCACAACCTGTTGAGTCATCACCCATAGACACCGTTCCACTGTACTCTAAGTACCTACGTTCAAGGACGGTTCGCAGATCACAAAGAGGCAGTGTAGTCTAGTATTTTGAGACACAAGTTCTTATCTCATCCTACCCCCTAACTTTCCTCACATGAATCACAGCTTGTTATGTGAAACAATTTATATCAGTACAGTACAAACCTTCTACGTTTAATCACCAATGCATTCCTTCTAAGCTATTCATCACATCCAGATCCAGTTATGAGTAAATAGAGCCCCACACTACTTTAAAAACTGTAACGTTACAGTGTGGACTTCATGGTTTCGCGGCCCCGTCTCAAACGTATGCGAGTCGGTTTTCACTCGGGAGAGAAGGCAGAGAGTTTTATCATTTGTTGGGAAAATTTCAGCGCTGTTTACTGGTATTTTTTGGAAAGTACTGGCCTTAAACTATTCAGTAAGTTAGAAAACGGTTTATTCGTGTGCACAAACCCACTTTGGCTAAAGTGTTTGTACTAACTAGCCTTGATAAACTTTCGTCTGTGTGTCAACACAAGTTTGTTTTGCCAGGCCACAGCGACAGCTGAATGGCTACATTGAGGTAGCTAGGTATCTGTCCATCTAATATTAATCTAGTTTTAACAATGTCTTCTTTGTTTAGTTATTTTTTTTTGGTTACCTTGTTGCTTGAGTTTGGACTGGAGTCAATTGATTGGGTACTAAAGTGTCTTTGGCATTGCCATCATGTGAACATCACAAGAAGAAATCTGCATGGCAGTTTTGTTTCGACTACAACACAAACTTTCCACTATAAACTGAATTGTTTATCAGCAATTGTGATAAATGCTTTCTCCACTCAGTTGATGGTCTGCAGTAGAACCTGAGGTGGCGGGCCAAACCATAGCCCAACATCATGACCGAGAGTTTCTGCAACATCGAGGATGAGGCTTTCCCCAGTTTCCTGTCTACCTCTGTGGGCAGCGGCCGTGCCACCCTGGGGGACGTCACCCTGGCCTCCACCCTGGGGCTGCCCGTAGCTGCCTCCACCGTGGCTCAAATTAGAGCTGGGGCCGACAACAGGTGGGTCAGCAGCACGACTTGGACAGAAGAGCAGAGCCTTTTACCACCGGCCCTCACATCAACAACAATGTTACTGGAACACAGGGCCCTGCAGAGCTATAGAGGTGCAGGGTTTTGTTCTAACTCTGTACCCTCTAATACGGTGTTGTGTAGCACTGATCAGTGTTCATAACAATCTGATTTCTAAAAATGAATCTCACTCATTTCTCTCCAGAGTAAATTCGATCCAGGCGTCGTATCTGGAGAACGGTCGGCTCTCTCTGGCTAACTCGCAGTCTAACGAGGAGCAGGGGACATTTTCCCTCAGCTTCACAGATGATCTGTGAGTATCAAGAGTCTTAGCAGCAGTGAAAGTCATGTGATTTAGGGCTCTACGCTGACGTGTTTTCCAAGGAGCACGTGCTCCTAAGTTGAAAAATGAAGGAGCAGATAATTAAATTTAGGAGCACGTGAAAAATATTTGAGATTTTAATGATAAGAATTGTCAACAATGACAAATTACAGGGTTAAGGAGCACCAGAAATTGATTTTGAAGCTTGAGTTAAAGCATACATTGGTCTGGTCATGCCTAAGGGGTTTAAAGGTGTATATATAAAAAATAAAATAAAGCCACGTGGTATAATGCTTTTCCCAGTGCTTTACCACACAGTGCAATGCTTTACCACACGGTATAATGCTGTTCCCTGTGCTTTACCACACGGTATAATGCTGTTCCCTGTGCTTTACCACACGGTATAATGCTGTTCCCCGGTGCTTTACCACACGGTGTAATGCTGTTCCCCGGTGCTTTACCACACGGTGTAATGCTGTTCCCCAGTGCTTTACCACACGGTGTAATGCTGTTCCCGGTGCTTTACCACACGGTGTAATGCTGTTCCCAGGGCTTTACCGCACGGTATAATGCTGTTCCCCGGTGCTTTACCACACGGTGTAGTGCTGTTCCCCGGTGCTTTACCGCACGGTATAATGCTGTTCCCCAGTGCTTTACTACACGGTGTAATGCTGTTCCCCGGTGCTTTACCACACGGTGTAGTGCTGTTCCCAGTGCTTTACCACACGGTGTAATGCTGTTCCCCAGTGCTTTACCGCACGGTGTAATGCTGTTCCCCAGTGCTTTACCACACGGTGTAATGCTGTTCCCAGTGCTTTACCACACGGTGTAATGCTGTTCCCCAGTGCTTTACCACACGGTGTAATGCTGTTCCCCGGTGCTTTACCGCACGGTGTAATGCTGTTCCCCAGTGCTTTACCGCACGGTGTAATGCTGTTCCCCAGTGCTTTACCACACGGTGTAATGCTGTTCCCCGGTGCTTTACCGCACGGTGTAATGCTGTTCCCCAGTGCTTTACCGCACGGTGTAATGCTGTTCCCCAGTGCTTTACCACACGGTGTAATGCTGTTCCCCGGTGCTTTACCGCACGGTATAATGCTGTTCCCCGGTGCTTTACCACACGGTGTAGTGCTGTTCCCCGGTGCTTTACCACACGGTGTAATGCTGTTCCCCGGTGCTTTACCACACGGTGTAATGCTGTTCCCCGGTGCTTTACCGCACGGTGTAATGCTGTTCCCCGGTGCTTTACCACACGGTGTAATGCTGTTCCCCGGTGCTTTACCACACGGTGTAATGCTGTTCCCCGGTGCTTTACCGCACGGTGTAATGCTGTTCCCCAGTGCTTTAGCATGCGGTTTGGGATGTGAATATACCCCATGTTTGTTTCAGTGAAAGATGTTGCCACCATTGATCCTCTCTATTCACCTCTCAGGGATGTTGCAGATGACTCCATAGCAGCCCACCGGTTCTCAGTGAATATGGACGAGACAGAGCCCAGGACTGGAGCCTCCTCCCTCGGCCCCAACACACGGACTGGACCTCTCCCTGGAAGACACTCTGAACATGGAGATGGTAACAACTTCCACTCTACCATTACTTTGGGTTGGTTTGCGGTTCTGTATGGCCCAGTTGGTAGAGCATGGTGCTTGCAACGCCAGGGTTGTGGGTTAGATTCCTGGGACCACCCATATGTAAAATTGTATGCATGCGTGACTAAGTCGCTTTGGATAAAAGCGTCTGCTAAATGGCTTTTATTGTTGGGTTGAGAGGTAAACCTAACGTACGATGTGGTCCATCCTTCAGTAGTTGATAGATCAGTGATGTCCAGCAGGCTGATGTGTTATGTTCGCTAACAAACCAGCTAATCGCTGTTCTTTTCTCTGGTCTCCCTATCAGATCTCTCTACGGGGTTGCTGACCTTCACCCACCTGGGAAATGGGGATGTTATGGATCTAAAGGTATCACAATCTGTTGTATACATTAGCTTTTAGGGTGCTAGCCTCCCCTCCGTCCCCCTGGCCTTTAGGATCCAGTATGGGTGGTAGCCTCCCCTCCTTTAGGATCCAGTATGGGTGCTAACCTCCCCTCCTTTAGGATCCAGTATGGGTGGTAGCCTCCCCTCCTTTAGGATCCAGTATGGGTGGTAACCTCCCCTCCGTCCCCCTGTCCTTTAGGATCCAGTATGGGTGCTAGCCTCCCCTCCTTTAGGATCCAGTATGGGTGGTAGCCTCCCCTCCGTCTCCCTGTCCTTTAGGATCCAGTATGGGTGCTAGCCTCCCCTCCGTCCCCCTGTCCTTTAGGATCCAGTATGGGTGCTAGCCTCCCCTCCGTCTCCCTGTCCTTTAGGATCCAGTATGGGTGGTAACCTCCCCTCCGTCCCCCTGTCCTTTAGGATCCAGTATGGGTGCTAGCCTCCCCTCCTTTAGGATCCAGTATGGGTGCTAGCCTCCCCTCCGTCCCCCTGTCCTTTAGGATCCAGTATGGGTGGTAGCCTCCCCTCCTTTAGGATCCAGTATGGGTGCTAGCCTCCCCTCCTTTAGGATCCAGTATGGGTGGTAGCCTCCCCTCCTTTAGGATCCAGTATGGGTGCTAGCCTCCCCTCCTTTAGGATCCAGTATGGGTGCTAGCCTCCCCTCCTTTAGGATCCAGTATGGGTGCTAGCCTCCCCTCCTTTAGGATCCAGTATGGGTGCTAGCCTCCCCTCCTTTAGGATCCAGTATGGGTGCTAGCCTCCCCTCCTTTAGGATCCAGTATGGGTGCTAGCCTCCCCTCCGTCCCCCTGTCCTTTAGGATCCAGTATGGGTGGTAGCCTCCCCTCCTTTAGGATCCAGTATGGGTGCTAGCCTCCCCTCCTTTAGGATCCAGTATGGGTGCTAGCCTCCCCTCCTTTAGGATCCAGTATGGGTGCTAGCCTCCCCTCCGTCCCCCTGTCCTTTAGGATCCAGTATGGGTGGTAGCCTCCCCTCCTTTAGGATCCAGTATGGGTGCTAGCCTCCCCTCCTTTAGGATCCAGTATGGGTGGTAGCCTCCCCTCCTTTAGGATCCAGTATGGGTGGTAGCCTCCCCTCCTTTAGGATCCAGTATGGGTGCTAGCCTCCCCTCCTTTAGGATCCAGTATGGGTGCTAGCCTCCCCTCCTTTAGGATCCAGTATGGGTGCTAACCTCCCCTCCTTTAGGATCCAGTATGGGTGCTAACCTCCCCTCCGTCTCCCTGTCCTTTAGGATCCAGTATGGGTGGTAGCCTCCCCTCCGTCCCCCTGTCCTTTAGGATCCAGTATGGGTGGTAACCTCCCCTCCGTCCCCCTGTCCTTTAGGATCCAGTATGGGTGCTAGCCTCCCCTCCTTTAGGATCCAGTATGGGTGGTAACCTCCCCTCCGTCCCCCTGTCCTTTAGGATCCAGTATGGGTGCTAGCCTCCCCTCCTTTAGGATCCAGTATGGGTGCTAACCTCCCCTCCTTTAGGATCCAGTATGGGTGCTAACCTCCCCTCCTTTAGGATCCAGTATGGGTGCTAGCCTCCCCTCCTTTAGGATCCAGTATGGGTGGTAACCTCCCCTCCTTTAGGATCCAGTATGGGTGCTAGCCTCCCCTCCTTTAGGATCCAGTACATGATACTAGAATGTAGTAATTGTGTCTCTGTGATCCAGGTCCAATCCCTCCGAGGCTCCGTAGAGGACCAGAGTCTGGCCAGTGAGGGAGCCGACAGCGACCACTTCAGTGGGAGTGTCTCCAGCTTCCTGGCCAATGAGAAGCTCATGTCTGTGGACAGCATCAACAGTGATGTCACAGGTGAGGCCCCACCCCTTTCAGTGCACAACATTTTAATTAATTAATTAATTTTACCTTTATTTAACTAGGCAAGTCAGTTAAGAACAAACCCTGGCCAAACCCGGACGACGCTGGGCCAATTGTGCGCCGCCCTATGGGACTCCCAATCACGGCCGGTTGTGATACAGCCTGGAATCGAACCAGGGGGTCTGTAGTGACGCCTCAAGCACTGAGATGCAGTGCCTTAGACCGCTGCGCCACTCGGTCTGTAGTGACACCTCAAGCACTGAGATGCAGTGCCTTAGACCGCTGCGCCACTCGGTCTGTAGTGATGCCTCAAGCACTGAGATGCAGTGCCTTAGACCGCTGCGCCACTCGGTCTGTAGTGATGCCTCAAGCACTGAGATGCAGTGCCTTAGACCGCTGCGCCACTCGGTCTGTAGTGACACCTCAAGCACTGAGATGCAGTGCCTTAGACCGCTGCGCCACTCGGTCTGTAGTGATGCCTCAAGCACTGAGATGCAGTGCCTTAGACCGCTGCGCCACTCGGTCTGTAGTGATGCCTCAAGCACTGAGATGCAGTGCCTTAGACCGCTGCGCCACTCGGTCTGTAGTGACGCCTCAAGCACTGAGATGCAGTGCCTTAGACCGCTGCGCCACTCGGTCTGTAGTGATGCCTCAAGCACTGAGATGCAGTGCCTTAGACCGCTATTCAGGAAGATGCAACATTACTGACCATTCAGATTGAAATGTATAGTGCAGAGCAGACGTTATACATTTGTCATAAAGGGAATAAGCAGTTGTGAGGCATGTGAAGAAGTGTTAGTAAAAGAATCCCCTTAACGTACCTATGGTCGGAACATGGTAAGACATGCCTCATAAAATGACAAAAAACCTCCAGGTTTTAAACAATTTAGTTTATGGTTAAATAGTTTCAAAATGTTGACTACCTCAGCTCAGATTGCATGGTGGGTGATGTTGCAGTGTGCAACAGGCACTGGCCTTTCTCTCCTGTCAGAACGAACAGTGCCTCAACTATGTCAACAGAATCAAGCCTTTAGATATTAATAATGATCCTACGTTATATTTGTCAAACATTACTGGCTTTTAGCCTGCTTATATCCTGTCAGCATCGGTCAGGACTTGACAGACTGTTGGCTCAATATGCATAGGCTATCAACTACACTTTGACATGTAAGATCATTATTTACATACACCTATGTTTTAACAGAAGCGTTTTTCGGTTTTCAAATCACTCTAATTAGCTATTTTGGTTAATGTCCTTTGTGCCCTGGCAGATTGGGCACCTCTTGAAGGCCTGCAAAAATCTCTAAAGCTGGAGACTCTTATCTCCCTCACTAACTTTAAGCATCAGTTGTCAGAGCACCTTACCGATCACTGCACCTGCACACAGCCCATCTGAAATTAGCCCACCCAACTACCTCATCCCTATATTGTTATTTATTTTGCTCATTTGCACCCCAGTATCTCTATTTGCACATCATCTCTTGCACATCTAGCATTCCAGTGTTAATACTAATTGTAATTATTCTGCACTATAGCCTATTTATTGCCTTACCTCCATAACTTGCTACATTTGCACACACTGTATATATATTTTCTGTTGTATTTTTGACTTTATGTTTTGTTTTACCCCATATGTAACTCTGTGTTGTTGTTTTTATCGCACTGCTTTGCTTTATCTTGGCCAGGTCGCAGTTGTAAATGAGAACTTATTCTCAACTGGCTTACCTGGTTAAATAAAGGTGAATAGTTATGCACGCTCAAGTTTTCTGTTTTTTTGTCTTATTTCTTGTATGTTTCACAAAAAAAAAAGATATTTTGCATCTTCAAAGTGGTAGGCATGTTGTGTAAATCAAATGATACAAACCCCCCCAAAAATAAAGGTGAAATAAAAATAAATAAATAAATTAATAAATAAGGCCAAATGACCTCGGCCCTAAAATCACGGAATTCCAGGCCTGGTGTCACGTTACTGTTACTGAAAAGCACTTTGACCTGAATCCTAACTTGATGTCTGCATGAGTAATTCAAGTTTTGAGTCCTTTGTGACAAATGTATTTTGTTAAAATAGTTGGCTATACAAGCACACTTTTGATTGGTAATATTGTCTTTGTGATGTCACGTTTCTAGAATGCCACGGCTTGGCGCTGCTTCACTTTCTCCAAGAGTCCCGTTGCCATGACAGCTGAGGGCGTGCTGCAGGCGGGGACTGTGACCTCACTGGCCGCGCCGTCCGTCATTAACCATGTGATGCACGCCAGCTACGGAGAGGTGAGTGAACCTGGAGGGACCTAGTCTTAGTGACTTAAATAGTTTAGTAGTTTGAGGGATGTTTTGGAATGAAATGTCATTTTCTGTTGCATTTCAGAATCCAGAGAGCTTCATGGTTTGGGATCACTTCCAGCTCTGTTCAGGTATGGCCCCTGTCCTTGCTTGATGAATATTAATACACAAAGATGCCATTCAGCCACCAGTCATGGCCGATGTTTGTGTCGTGTGATGTCATACAGGTGATCTAGGTCCAGCTGAAGAGTGCAGTGCGCGGGTGGACATCGAGGTGGACTGTCCAGGGCCCAGTCATGTGATCAGGAGCGTCCCCCTCGGAGCCAGGTCTGGAATAGCCAGAGTACACGCCCCCAAAGGCCTACAGGTAGGAACTGACGTGTCGCACGGCTTACATGGGAGTAGTCTTTATATTCAGGATTTAACTGGGAAAGTAATTCTCTTTTTGTTTTCTTATAATTTGGTTGGGTCTAATTGTGTTGCTGTCCTGGGGCTCTGTGGGGTCTGTTTGTGTTTGTGAACAGAGCCCCAGGACCAGCTTGCTTAGGGGACTCTTCTCCAGGTTCATCTCTATGTAGGTGATGGCTTTGTTATGGGAGGTTTGGGAATCGCTTCCTTTTAGGTGGTTGTAGAATTTAACGGCTCTTTTCTGGATTTTGATAATTAGCGGATATCTGCCTAATTCTGCTCTGCATGCATTATTTGGTGTTGTACACTGAGGACATTTTTGCAGAATTCTGCATGCAGTGTCTCTTTGATTTTTGTGAATTCTTGGTTGGTGAGCGGACCCCACACCTCACAACCATAAAGGGCAATGGGTTCTATAACTGATTCAAGTATTTTTAGCCAGATCCTAATTGGTATATTGAATTTTATGTTCCTTTTGATGGCATAGAAGGCCCTTCTTGCCTTGTCTCTCAGATCGTTCACAGCTTTGTGGAAGTTACCTGTGGTGCTGATGTTTAGGCCGAGGTATGTATAGTTTTTTGTGTGCTCTAGGGCAACGGTGTCTAGATGGAATTTGTATTTGTGGAATTGGCAACTGGACCTTTTTTGGAACACCATTATTAGGTTTGTCCCCCAACACCACTTTCCATCAATTTGTTCCTTCTTTTTCCGTAGTGTATTTCTGTATTGTTTTAGTGATTCACCATAGTGAAGGTGTAGGCTCAGGTTTTCAATTTGTATAGCAGACCCTCATGCCAAATTGAGTCAAAAGCTTTTTAAAAATCAACAAAGCATGCAAAGACTTTGCCTTAGTTTTGGTTAGTTTGTTTGTCAGTTAGGGTGTGCAGGGCTGAATACGTGGTCTGTCGTACGGTAATTTGGTAAAAAGCCAATTTGACATTTGCTCTGTACATTGTTTTCACTGAGGAAATGTACAAGTCTGCTGTTAATGATAATGCAGAGGATTTTCCCAAGGTTGCTGTTGATGCATATCTCACGGTAGTTATTGGGGTCAAATTTGTCTCCACTTTTGTGGATTGGGGTTATCAGTCCTTGGTTCTCAATATTTGGGAAGATGCCAGAGCTAAGGATGATGTTAAAGAGTTTAAGTATAGCCATTTGGAATTTGTGGTCTGTATATTTTATCATTTCATGTAGGATACCATCAACACCACAGGCCTTTTTGGGTTGGAGGGTTTGTATTTTGTCCTGTAGTTCATTCAATGTAATTGGAGAATCCAGTGGGTTCTGGTAGTCTTTAATAAGTTTGTATTTGATCATGTATATGTTTTTGCTGTTTTGTTCTTTGTTATAGAGCCAAAAAGATTGGAGAAGTGGTTTATCCATCTCAGTTTTGGATAGATAACTCTACGTGTTGTTTGTTTGTTTAGTGTTTTCCAATTTTCCCAGAAGTGGTTAGTAAATGGATTCTTCAATTACATTGAGCTGATTTCTGATGTGCTGTTCCTTCTTTTTCCGTAGTGTATTTCTGTATCGTTTTAGTGACTCTCTCTCTCTCTCTCTCTCTCTCTCTCTCTCTCTGTCTCTGTCTCTGTCTCTGTCTCTGTCTCTGTCTCTCTATCTCTCTCTCTCTCTGTCTCTGTCTCTCTCTCTCTCTCTCTCTCTCTCTGTCTCTGTCTCGCTCTCTCTCTCTCTCTCTCTCTCTGTCTCTGTCTCGCTCTCTCTCTCTCTCTCTCTCTCTCTCTCCGTCTCTCTCTCTCTCTCCTGTCTCTCCCCTTTCTATCTGTTAATGTAATATATCCATCCCAGCTCCAGAGTAGCTTTGGACTAGAGGAAAGGTTGACCCGGCACAGAGAGCTGTCCATCCGGCCCAGGGAGGATGTTGTGGTCCACCTGCTGTTTGCCCCCACCCGGGTGGCCTGCACCCTGGACCCTGGCCAAGCTGGAGATCAAACCCTCACAGCCTGGCATCCAGTTCACTGTGAGGCGCTCTCTACCCTAACCATCCTGTAGACCGATGTTTCTTCATCCTGGTCCTTAGTCGTTGCCCTAGCACTCCACTCCTGATTCCGCTAATCAAAGGCTTGATGAGGAGTTGGTTATTTAAGTCAGGTGTGTAGTGCAACGGCAACAACAGAAATGTGCACGTATTTGGGTCCCCGGGACCTAGTTATTCACTGAAGTGACCAGACTGGTTTTCAATGGTGGTTTCTGATCTTAAAGGGACATTACACTTTAAAATCAAAGTTGTCAGATGTTTTCAGACCTCAAAATGAGTGTGATAATGAATGGGTTATGTAGATCCAGCTATATGCCTCACATCCAAGTACACAATCAGGAAGTAAGACAACGCTCATTGTCTCCTCTCTCTCTTCCCCCCCAGATCCCCCTATCAGGCTATGGAGGGACCAGTAGCATTATTCTGGAAGACACCAGGAAGCGTTCAGACGGCTACGTGGCTATGCTAATGGGTGTGGCAGCAGGCCAGGTGTCCAAGCTCTGTGTGTGTGTGAGGAACACTGGGTCCAGGGCTGCCTTCATTAAGGCTGTTCCCTACTCTGACCTTCAGACACGCTCTGTCATGGACTCATCTGTCATCAGCCTCTCTCCATCTCCGTTAGTACACAGGAGGTAGGACACATGACTTGTTTCAACATTTCTGCATGTGGTCAGAAAGGAGGTTCTGGTTGACACCTTGTCAAGTTGGTTTCATCTGGACTAACTGTCAAAGAGACCTGACTGAATGACACCTTGTCAAGTTGGTTTCATCTGGACTAACTGTCAAAGAGACCTGACTGAATGACACCTTGTCAAGTTGGTTTCATCTGGACTAACTGTCAAAGAGACCTGACTGAATGACACCTTGTCAAGTTGGTTTCATCTGGACTAACTGTCAAAGAGACCTGACTGAATGACACCTTGTCAAGTTGGTTTGAACTGGACTCCCTGTCAGAGACCTGACTGAATGACACCTTGTCAAGTTGGTTTGAACTGGACTCCCTGCCAGAGACCTGACTGAATGACACCTTGTCAAGTTGGTTTGAACTGGACTCCCTGCCAGAGACCTGACTGAATGACACCTTGTCAAGTTGGTTTGAACTGGACTCCCTGCCAGAGACCTGACCTGAGAGCTGTTTCTAACATTCATGTTCTCTGGAATGTTTAGTTATACATTTTCTATCACCTTGGATACTTCCCTTGGCATCTTTCTGTTTGATGACAACGTTACGTGTTCTATTTGAATGCCAGTTGAACCAGGTGTTTGTGGCCCGGTAACCTTCCCTGGGCTGTACTGAAGGGACACATACCGGCTAGTTAACCTGTGGTTCCCTTCTTCTTGTCTTAGGTGATCACGGTTCTGATGAAGGTGACCCATAGAGAGCAGACTCTGTGTCAGTCAGCTAATGCCCTCCTGGCCACAGTCTGTCTCTTCTGTGGAGACGAGGTCTCACGACAACAGTTCAGGAGGTGAGGACCTGTCCCTCGGTTTCTTACATGGACTAATCTGTCATTAACTTGACTTTAAACAGCAATCTTGTGAAGCCAATAGCATTAGTCTTTGAAGGGGTTGTTTCAGGCTGTCAGACAGAACAGTCTCTGTTGTCCTCCAGGCCCTCTGTTTGATTTACAGCACACACTGTAAGGAGACTCATTTCACTACTCTCTCCATCTCCATCTCCATCTCCATCTCCTGTCCCCCAGGTTGCTGCTGTCGAAGCCCGAGGCAGGCAGGAAGATTCTGTCGGAGAACAGCCTGCTGAAAGGACTCAACTTCAACGAAAGGTTCCTGGGGGAGGAGCAGGTCCTGGAGGGTAAGGGTCATGGGTCATTCTAGAACATGAGTGGGATAATGTCAATGTTGCCTTGGTTAGATAGTAGCTGGGAGCTTGCGGAGTCTGATACTTGTGAGATTTGTTTGTCACATTTTGCGGTAAGAATTGTTTGGCGAGCTGCTCCTAGGTGGTCTGGTAGCTACTGGTAGATCAACCTGTTGGAGACCCCTGTTCTAGAAACGAGGGTACCAGCGAGGATGGACAACAGCTGTCGATAAGGTCATTCATAATAATCAGCAAAAAAATGTTTGTTGTGGAATTACCACCAGGGACACCTGAAGTCAATCTTAAATGAATAATTATTTATTATCAGCAAGTTGGTGAGGTTCCAAGGACACGTAGGACACGTCGGTCGGCAGCTCCGCCGGGGCAGTCCCGTTAGTTCTCTTATATACTGCTTACACAGACAAGTTATACTTGCATGATTTACATTATTCATTATTCATAATGAATTCATCATTAATTCATCTTGAACTTCTTCCATTTTCTAATAATTGCGCCAACAGTTGTTGCCTTCTCACCAAGCTGCTTGCCTATTGTCCTGTAGCCCATCCCAGCCTTGTGCAGGTCTACAATTTTATCCCTGATGTCCTTACACAGCTCTCTGGTCTTGGCCATTGTGGAGAGGTTGGAGTCTGTTTGATTGAGTGTGTGGACAGGTGTCTTTTATACAGGTAACAAGTTCGAACAGGTGCAGTTAATACAGGTAATGAGTGGAGAACAGGACGGCTTCTTAAAGAAAAACTAACAGGTCTGTGAGAGCCGGAATTCTTACTGGTTGGTAGGTGATCAAATACTTATGTCATACAATAAAATGCAAATGAATTACTTAAAAATCATACAATGTGATTTTCTGGATTTTTGTTTTAGATTCCGTCTCTCACAGTTGAAGTGTACCTATGATAAAAATTACAGACCTCTACATGATTTGTAAGTAGGAAAACCTGCAAAATCGGCAGTGTATCAAATACTTGTTCTCCCCACTGTATACTGGAGGTGGTGTGGAGAAAGGCACCTTGCTGCATGTCCTGACTCCTCCCATGATGCATAGCGTTCTCATTCTCACGTCATCGCCATGTGGAATGAACTTCTGTTGCTACATCTTTATCACTATTTGTTTGTCTTCCCAGTTTGAGTTTGTCAAAGAAACCTTCTCTTGTCACTACCTATAAAGTATCTGTCAGATGACCCTATTCTCTTCCAACAGGGCAGGCGTGTAATCATCATCAACACAGTGCATCTGCTCATATCACAGCTCAAAGTGTGTGTGTGTGTCTGTCCGTGTTTTGTCTGTCTGTTGTGTGTTTCTTTGAACCTGTACATACTTGGTCCATGTATTGATTTCTCACCATTTCTCCCTGCCCTCCAGATCCCAACGCTACATCCACCCGCCAGTCCAGTTCAAGCCGGTTGTAACTGGCAACCATTCCAGCCTGCTGTTGGTTCAGACGGATACCAGTGGAAGCCTCACTATCCAGCTAACTGGTGAGGCCCTGAGGACCGCTGGTCTGGGTCAGTGAGGACCGCTGGTCTGGGTCAGTGAGGACCGCTGGTCTGGGTCAGTGAGGACCGCTGGTCTGGGTCAGTGAGGACCGCTGGTCTGGGTCAGTGAGGACCGCTGGTCTGGGTCAGTGAGGACCGCTGGTCTGGGTCAGTGAGGACCGCTGGTCTGGGTCAGTGAGGACCGCTGGGTCTGAGTGGGTCACTGCATCTGTAGTATGGACTATACTGGAGCCCTGCTGAAGGTCATATGGAAGAATGAACTATGGAGCCTTTGTCCAATACGGCACCCTAATCCCACTATGGTGTACTATTTTTGGCCAAAGCCTTAGGAAATAGGGTGCCGTTTCAGATGAACCCTAAGGAAATAGGGTGCCATTTCAGATGGACCCTTAGGAAATAGGGTGCCGTTTCAGATGAACCCTAAGGAAATAGGGTGCCGTTTCAGATGAACCCTTAGGAAATAGGGTGCCGTTTCAGATGAACCCTTAGGAAATAGGGTGCCGTTTCAGATGAACCCTTAGGAAATAGGGTGCCGTTTCAGATGAACCCTTAGGAAATAGGGTGCCGTTTCAGATGAACCCTTAGGAAATAGGGTGCCGTTTCAGATGAACCCTTAGGAAATAGGGTGCCGTTTCAGATGAACCCTAAGGAAATAGGGTGCCGTTTCAGATGAACCCTTAGGAAATAGGGTGCCGTTTCAGATGAACCCTTAGGAAATAGGGTGCCGTTTCAGATGAACCCTTAGGAAATAGGGTGCCGTTTCAGATGAACCCTTAGGAAATAGGGTGCCGTTTCAGATGAACCCTTAGGAAATAGGGTGCCGTTTCAGATGAACCCTTAGGAAATAGGGTGCTGTTTCAGATGAACCCTTAGGAAATAGGGTGCCGTTTCAGATGAAGCCTTAGGAAATAGGGTGCCGTTTCAGATGAACCCTTAGGAAATAGGGTGCCGTTTCAGATTAACCCTTAGGAAATAGGGTGCCGTTTCAGATGAACCCTTAGGAAATAGGGTGCCGTTTCAGATGAAGCCTTAGGAAATAGGGTGCCGTTTCAGATGAACCCTTAGGAAATAGGGTGCCGTTTCAGATGAACCCTTAGGAAATAGGGTGCCGTTTCAGATGAAGCCTTAGGAAATAGGGTGCCGTTTCAGATGAACCCTTAGGAAATAGGGTGCCGTTTCAGATGAAGCCTTAGGAAATAGGGTGCCGTTTCAGATGAAGCCTTAGGAAATAGGGTGCCGTTTCAGATGAACCCTTAGGAAATAGGGTGCCGTTTCAGATGAAGCCTTAGGAAATAGGGTGCCATTTCAGATGAACCCTTAGGAAATAGGGTGCCGTTTCAGATGAAGCCTTAGGAAATAGGGTGCCGTTTCAGATGAAGCCTTAGGAAATAGGGTGCCGTTTCAGATGAACCCTTAGGAAATAGGGTGCCGTTTCAGATGAACCCTTAGGAAATAGGGTGCCGTTTCAGATGAAGCCTTAGGAAATAGGGTGCCGTTTCAGATGAAGCCGTAGGAAATAGGGTGCCGTTTCAGATGAACCCTTGGGAAATAGGGTGCCGTTTCAGATGAACCCTTAGGAAATAGGGTGCCGTTTCAGATGAACCCTTAGGAAATAGGGTGCCGTTTCAGATGAAGCCTTAGGAAATAGGGTGCCGTTTCAGATGAACCCTTAGGAAATAGGGTGCCGTTTCAGATGAAGCCTTAGGAAATAGGGTGCCGTTTCAGATGAAGCCTTAGGAAATAGGGTGCCGTTTCAGATGAACCCTTAGGAAATAGGGTGCCGTTTCAGATGAACCCTTAGGAAATAGGGTGCCGTTTCAGATGAAGCCTTAGGAAATAGGGTGCCGTTTCAGATGAAGCCTTAGGAAATAGGGTGCCGTTTCAGATGAACCCTTGGGAAATAGGGTGCCGTTTCAGATGAACCCTTAGGAAATAGGGTGCCGTTTCAGATGAACCCTTAGGAAATAGGGTGCCGTTTCAGATGAAGCCTTAGGAAATAGGGTGCCGTTTCAGATGAACCCTTAGGAAATAGGGTGCCGTTTCAGATGAACCCTTAGGAAATAGGGTGCCGTTTCAGATGAAGCCTTAGGAAATAGGGTGCCGTTTCAGATGAACCCTTAGGAAATAGGGTGCCGTTTCAGATGAACCCTTAGTCTTCCTCCTCCTGCCTTATTGACTGGAGCTGATAAACTGCATCTAACTGAGCTGATGGTGAATACTGCCGACACACACACACACACACACACACACACACACACACACACACACACACACACACACACACACACACACACACACACACACACAAACACACACATCTGGCCTGGCCCACTGGTGTCCTGGCCTCTGACTGGCAGCTGAACAGTGGCTCTGTTTGTTACCAGCTTGAATCAGTGGTTTAGTCTGGCCGGCCCACAGTCAGCCTGTCTCTTCTGGCCTCAGCTCATGATCTGTCTCTTCTGGCCTCAGCTCATGATCGGTCTCTTCTAGCCTCAGCTCATGATCTGTCTCTTCTGGCCTCAGCTCATGATCTGCCTCTTCTGGCCTCAGCTCATGATCTGCCTCTTTTGGCCTCAGCTCATGATCTGCCTCTTTTGGCCTCAGCTCATGATCTGCCTCTTCTGGCCTCAGCTCATGATCTGCCTCTTCTGGCCTCAGCTCATGATCTGCCTCTTCTGGCCTCAGCTCATGATCTGCCTCTTCTGGCCTCAGCTCATGATCTGCCTCTTCTGGCCTCAGCTCATGATCTGCCTCTTCTGGCCTCAGCTCATGATCTGTAATTTGTCTGTTGTTGTCTCAAGCAGGCCATTGTTGCCCTGTTATGTAGCAGCGAGCAGCACAGAAACGTTAGGGATTACCCTGGTGTAGTTTCACTGGAACGTTTTAGTCTGCTGGGGTTACGGCTGCAGGAACTGTGGTGTGTAACTGTTTCTTTGTGCCCATGTCGCATACTGTTATGTGAAGGCTTGCCTTGAAACACAACGTTGCCCTTCCAGCACTGAACATGATCTCTTCAATGTGGGTTGAGAAAATACATGTCCATGAGCTAATTCCTCTAATTAGAATCCATTGAAATATGTTCCAGTGGTGCCAATGGGTCCTAGCCTGAGTGCCAGTCTGTCTGTGCTATCATGCCAACTGTCACTCATTGTCATGACAAACAATGAGCAGTGGAGTTGGCAAGAACACAAACAGAACAGATGTGGGACGAAGCTAAATGAGTCATGCTATTTTGTTTTCAGTTAGGTGTCATTTGGGATGCGTCCATGGTAATGCAGCTAGTCAGAATGCGTCCATGGTAACGCAGCTAGTCAGAATGCGTCCATGGTAACGCAGCTAGTCAGAATGCGTCCATGGTAACGCAGCTAGTCAGAATGCGTCCATGGTAACGCAGCTAGTCATAATGCGTCCATGGTAACGCAGCTAGTCATAATGCGTCCATGGTAACGCAGCTAGTCAGAACAGTACCCACCTGGGTGGCAGCAGCCTGTCCGCTGTCAGAGACATGTGTTCCGTTCCTGGTCCTGGCAACATCCCAACGTCTCATTGTTCCATTCCTGGTCCTGGCAACATCCCAACGTCTCATTGTTCCATTCCTGGTCCGGGCAACATCCCAACGTCTCATTGTTCCATTCCTGGTCCTGGCAACATCCCAACGTCTCATTGTTCTGGTCCTGGCAACATCCCAACGTCT